GTCAGCCATGCTCGCGTTCGAATAAGCTGGTATGTGAAAATAATGACGCCGATCAGGAAGAGCATGATCATGACCGCGGCGCCTCCCACGGAGGGATAGTAGGCGTATGCCGTCCAACCGGTGGCCATGATGACAAGCAGGTGATGCCCGATTGTGATTGAGAGGTCGTGAAGGAAGTCGGGGATTGGGATTAGACTGGGCCATTTCGATTCTTAAGTGACTGCGACTCCTGAAACTTTCTATGCCTAGAGAGAATTCTTCGATGGCCGTTGTTGACATGGTTGGGACTGTGCCTCTCGTATTTCGTACGCTGAACCATGTTCGGTTTAGTGTGTGGAGTTCAACCGCTTTCTTCAGTCTGCTGCTTATTATAGTCTTGGTTCTATACGAGCCGATGAGGCATAGAATCCGAATGCACGGACCAGTGCCATGATAGGCCCACTCATTGAGATGCCAGGCATGGCTTCTCTGTCATTTCACAGCAGTGGGAGGTACATCTGACCATATCAGCACCGAAGCGTACGTTAAGGAACGCCTGGACTTGTAGATCGCTCTGAGAACAGCCAGCGTCTGGATTCCTGATCCATCAGATTTTCGAGCTCCGGAGTCCTCTCCAACCAACATACCTCATTTAAGTAGCCTAAAGGTATCTACAGGGCTGGTTGGGCAGCTGCATACTGTGACATAACTCAGGTGCAGCGAAGCATTTGATAAAACGGGTTTTCTTGTATCTTTCCGATTGTCCGTACAGTTGGAGTGCAGACTCTCCAGGTCGCTTAGGTGGTCAACAGGCGGTTTTGAGCGTCCATAGAAGGGGTAAAACATCTAGCAAAGCAACGAGGTGTTTCAGGGCATGCCTTGTACGTTGAAATGCGCTTTCACATCGAAAAAACATGCATAGCAAGACTGCAGTCCCTTCTCAAGCCTATCAATGATATCAATGCAGTCTTGTCGAACAGTGTGGGTTTTGGACCATACTGCATTGCTGGGGGGTAGTAGTTGTTGTAGTCACAGGTAGCTCTGTCATCAAGAATGCCCCAGTGAGAGTCAGTCGTCAAAATTTATGCCAGCCGTTGATGCTGGTGTGTGTGTGTGTGTGTGTGTGTGTGTGTGTGTTGTGGTGCTTCGCCTCTTCAACTCCTTAGAGGTGTTCAGAGTCACAACTCCTAGATGCATCGGTTTCTCGAAACTCTGGATATTGAATATTTCGCTCGTTAATCTCAATGCCCTTTATTTGGCAGCAGCAGCAGCAGCAGTCTCGGGTAAAGTTCTGCAGAAGATCGCATGCAGTTGTTTCAGGAAGCTATGGAGGCATGAAATGAGAAATGAGAAATGAAGATTGGGAGGAGGTTGAATGGCGGCAGTCGTATGACACGTTGACATGGATGGAACAATGACCCGTCCCATTCTTTCTGATTCTATTGCTCCCTTGATCGTGGCTTCTACGGAGGATTTTCAGTCGATCCCATCTCTCTGACACACAGCGGCTGCGACATTCCGCGATTAGCCTTGTTTTGTCTCCGGGTCCACCACTAGGACCCTCCTGTGCGTCGGTGACTAGGTTATACTCCTCTTGGATACTGTAAACCCGAGGCCCCAGATGTGTTGCAAATTGTGACTGCATGTGAGCGCTTTGAAGAATACTGACTGTTTATCTGTTGCCAAGATATCCGCATAGAGTTGTAGAAAAATTGAATGGGCCAGTGGGATCCAGCAGGATGCCTGCCTGTGACCTCTGCGAATGGGCGGATAAAGAGAGATGCGCGCACGGATCTCAGTATCCTTGATGTTATGGATAATATACATGGTTCAAAACCATCCGGATTCAAAGACACCACAGCAATCTCCGGCTGGAAGAAGTCAACGGCGGTGCTGGGGACGGTTCTTGGATTACTCGGTGACCCTTCCCTAGCGGGGTCTGGGTGCTTAATTTATCATCAGTTTGTCGCCGAAGACCCACCCCGGATCCTCTAAAGATGCTGTGAGCCTGTGAGAAATATGACCATCCAAGGGTCTCATATTAAGGGCTTATGGCACACTGGCCAGGCATAGGGTCTCTAACTCAGGGGAATCACGTACACTATCGAATCAGCGTTCGGAAGTCGAGATTAAAGCTGCAATCAGTGTCAACAGACCCAGAGGCCCGAATTAGCCGAGCTCAAGAATTATGTATGCATCAAGTTTTCTTCGCAGTGGTGGATGATTTATTCAATCGGTCCTCACGGTGTTTGGATGGTCATGACTCGCGCCATGACGTGTCGGGGTCTCAGATAGGTGATGGTTGCAATCGTGAAACACGCTCCAGGGGCAACAGGAAACCCTTCATCAAACCACTAGCAGAGCAACTCCCCGTCTCGAGCTCGGCTCTAAAATGCTAACTGCCGACGGTGCCAATCATACCAGCGAGTCAGACCCCCTGGCTGGACACTATGCGGGGCCGACCGAACGTTTTTATTAAGTGTCTCCACCCGAGGTGAAGATGGGTCGGTTCACGATGCATCCATGCTAAGCTCCGGAGGAGGTGGCTGAGCTTAGCTTATTGATTCTTGACTTTCAGCTAGACCAACGGTACTGTGGTTCTCGGCTCTATTGATTCGATGCTATCAATCTATCATATAAGAACGTTGGGTGTTCAACGTTGTCCATGGTTGAGATCTGGAGTTCAACGCCCTCATTGTCCTTCCTTTCATTTTGTCTTTTCTAGTATCTTAACACTCTTTAGTCTTTCATTCTTTTCATCATGATGAAGCGCAGCGCGCTCCTTGCCTCTTTCCTTCCTCTCGCCCTGGGGTGCGACAACCCTGAGACTCACTCCTGTGCCTCTGCCTTCTCCGTCTCCTCTGCGGCGGCCGCTACCTTCTGTGCCACCTTCACGGCGAGCACCGTGACTGCCACGACTGGTGTGCCGGATGTCTTCCTCTCCAACTGCGACTACAAGACCAAGCATCTCTCCAGTGCCTGCAGCTGCTTGGGCACCTCTGACGGATCTGCTCCCGCTTCCACCCCGGCTGCCCCGGCAGTCTCCAGCAGCAGCAAAGTGGTGAGCACCAACCAAATGCTTCATTACGATTCTTTTACTGAACCAATGTAGGGCAAGGCGCCTGCTGTCGCAGCCACCCGCACCTCGGTGGTCCCTACTACCTTCCACACCACTCCCATTCGTGTGCCCGTGTCCACCTCAGCTGCGGCGGCTGTGACTACCCAGGCTGTCGTCCCGGTGCAGAGCTCCGTGGCAGGCAATGGCGGCACCACTTGCACGGTGACTGAGTACGCCTCAATCTCCTCCGCCGTCGCATCCTGCTCCAACATCCTCCTGTCCAACATCAACGCCCCTGCATCGAGCACCATCGATCTCTCGGGCCTGCAGACTGGCGCGGCTGTCATCTTCGCTGGTGAAACCGTAAGCCATCTCCCCTACATCAGGGTCAATCACCATACTAACGGAACCGATAGACTTTCGGCGACACCTACGACAGCGACTTCGACCCCATTGTCATCTCCGGTACCGACGTGACCATCACCGGTGAGGAGGGACATGTCATCAACGGTAACGGTGAAGCCTACTGGGACGGCGAGGGATCCAACGGCGGACAGGACAAGTGAGCTCCTACCAGCACCCCCTATTCAGGAATGGCTTCACTAACCTTCCCTGCCAGGCCTGACCACTTCATCGTTGTCAAGGACATGTACAACTCCAAGATCGAGAACCTCAACATCCTGAACTACCCCGTCCACTGCTTCGAGATTGAAGACACCGAGTACCTCACCATCACCGGCCTGATCCTCAACAACACCGCCGGTGATGCCGCCAACAGCAAGAGTGACGGCGACCCGGCCGCCCACAACACCGACGGCTTCGACATTAAGCAGAGCGACTTCCTGACCCTGTCCAACACATGGGTGCACAACCAGGACGACTGTGTCGCCGTCACTAGCGGTAGCTCCATCGTCGTCGACAACCTCTACTGCTACGGTGGCCACGGTCTCTCCATCGGCTCTATCGGCGGCAAAAGTAACAACACCGTCGACGGCGTCACCTTCTCCAACTCCCAGGTCATTAACAGCGAGAACGGCTGCCGCATCAAGTCCAACGCTGATACCACTGGCGAGGTTAGTCACCTGCCTCAATCATAATACACCCCTCATCAAAACGTAAGCACTAACCACCGAGCAAATCATTATACAGGTCTACAACGTCCGCTACGAGAACATCACCCTGTCCGGTATCACCGACTACGGCATCGACGTCCAGCAGGACTACGAGAACGGTGGTGCCACCGGTGACCCGACCAACGGCGTCAAGATCGAGAACATCTCCTTCGTCAATGTCAAGGGTACCATGAGCGACGGCAAGGATTACTATATCCTCTGCGGTGATGGCAGCTGCTCCAACTTTGTCTTCACTGATGTCGACATCACCGGTGGTAGCGATGATAGCTGCAACTACCCCTCTTCGGGATGTCCTTAGATTATGGAATGTGGTGTGATTGTAGAGTAGGTAGAAGGGGTTGGAGGAGGTATTGAACTGTACAGTATCTGTCTATGTATCTGTACCTCTATCTGATTTCTAGTTGCTTTCCTGAGATGCTGTGGATCAGCGAATTGGGAAAGTGGAAACCGGTTAGTGATTAGTTGGTTTCATTCAAACGGAGGGTTTATCTATCATTTATACTACCCGTGTAATAGGTTGTATGTGTGTATGGGGCATTTCCCTTCTTCTGTAATGCTAGCAGTAGGTCGGTTGGCTGGCTAGTTTCTGGTAGATGCGACATACATGGACAATGTCTACGGCAATCAAATACGGGAAAGCTCCTCCGAGGTCGCAATGCACATGCTACTCCAGTCGCAAGTGGTGCGTTTTCACTAGGATCTAAAGCGAATCCGAACCACCGAGCCCCGTCCCAAAATTGACCGGCAGTTGCGGAGTACGAAGGGTGTCAGATGCCCGCATTCAGGTAGCTAGCTAGCACTACGGGGGAAACAGAACAAGTGGGGTAATGGTCATGTGGTAGATAATTGCTTTTTTTCTTTCCAGGTCATATCGATTTCATTTCATTTCACTCATACCCTCGTCAAGACAGGAGAGACGGATCTTCTCTCCTGCATCAATAGCAAAAAACAGCGTATAACTTGAGAAACAGTTCCCTAAAACTCCAAGATGGGGTTTACGATTTGGCTCTGCTGCACATGCGAAATGCTAAACTTCAGTAACGCTGTATGAATTCAGACCGTTAGCTCCATGGCGGCCGGTTGAGAGCAAAAAGAAAGATAAGAGTCTGGCTGTGTGGTGGTTAGTAGCAGTCAACAGGCCGGAGTATGGCGATCGTGTGCTGATTGACTGACAAACCTGAGCCAGGGCACCGGGCCCCCTGTTTTTCTCCAACAAATGCGAGATGCGAAACCAAAACGCCGTATCCCTACGCCACACTCATGTCGATGGATTGCTTTAGGCGGATCCTTCTAGCCAAACGGAGACGGTGGCGCTTGTCGTGTACACCATGAACACTACTCCCAGGACCATCATTGCAATGTCGCCTCGTTTGACCCATGGGGACTCGGCTACGCCCTTCCAGTGCAAGTACGCCGGGTAGATATACACCAGGGGAACACAGGCAAACGACCCGATCAACGAGACAAACTTGTCCAGATCCCCGGCCCCCACAGCTCCAATCAGCCCGCAGATCATCACGGCACTGGTCCGGAACACATTCTTCTTCCACTTGATCATGGGGTCGCGCTTGCCTGAGTTCTGGCCGAAGAGCTTGCCCTCGATAATACGGACGGCGGGGAACAGCTGGATCGGCGTACTGACCAGGATGGCGAGCGAATAGACGAACTGGAGCACATTGACAAAGCGGTCCGTGCGGGGCAGGTTGCTGATGATCTCCGTTTTGGTCTCCGCGCCAAAGGTGGCATACGAGAGCGCGCCCACCGCCGTGAACAATACCGTGATTATGATCATGACAGTATAGAGGAGTTTGTCGAAATGCTCAGGCCGCTTCATGGAAGACTGGATCGGCAGAATCAAGCCAATTCCCTCAAAGGTGAAGATACACGATCCGATGGTCAGGGTGAACGATTGGCGATTGAAGAGTTCGACCGACGACGCCAGACCACGGGACGCGAGACTGGCAATGTCATAAAAGTAGATGTACGCCAAGCCTACGAGGATGAAGACATCCGCCAGCAACGCAATGGGGCCCAGCTTGGAGATGTTTCGGATCAAGGACAGTGGGATGAGCACAAGCAGTTGTACGGCGATTAATTTACCGGTTGACAAAGCTGTGCCCAGGTCCGTTGTCACCGCTTCCAGGACGGCGTGGATGTTCTCCGCGGTGAAGATGATACAAGCACACACGAAGCCCAGTTGCGAGATTACGATGGATGCAAGGATCAACGTCCGAAGTCGGGTGCCACCAATCCGCTCACCAATGTCGCCATAGCCACCACCATAGTGTCTCCGACATTCCAGCAACAGATGGAAACACAAGGTACTGATCAACGACACTGTTACGAGGGTGATGGAGGAAAACAGGATTCCGCCGTTGCGGAAGGCCTTGGGTAAGAAGATGATTCCCGTTCCCACAAATGCCTTCAAGAGTGTGAAGAACGTCTTGACGTTGGAAGCATCGCCTGGGCGGCTGGCTCGTGAGCTCCGCCGTCGCCGCAAGAGGGCAGTTCGTTCGGACACCGGCCTCGTCTCATCCTCTTCTTCTTCCTCTTCGACGATGGCTGATTCCTCCTCTGTGTCGGCCAGATCCTCGCCCGCAAAGTTACCATAAATATCTAGGAAATCGAGAAAGGACGAGGTTACGCCCGGTTGGTCGAGCCGACCGTACTTGTTCTGAACGAAGTGACGGCGGAAGCTCCCCGGCTCCATGGCTGCCACGCCTTCCTCCACCACATCATCCGTGCGTCTCGGAAGGAAGGAGAACGTGGCCGCCCGTTTGTCCAGGCGAGCTATCTTGGATTTGGCGTCGAGACGGTACAAGTCTCGATGGATGTCGCCGCCTTGCAGTCTCAGGGAGGATTGGGGTTCGGACGGAGCATCACCACTACTTTGCTCGGCTGGGGGCTCAGCGGGGGGTGCAGTCAGTTCATCCTGGAGGGAAGCAGTGAACTGAGGGTGCAGATGCTGGGACAGGACGTTGTTTGCTTCTCTAGAGTCGGAGTCGGGATCCCGACCGGAGGAAGTGGAGAGATCTGCCATTGGAAATGGGGGCGTCGGGGAGGGAGGGCGGAGGCGAGTTTCTGGTTTGAATGGAATGGGGTCAGTTGAAAACAGGGACTGGAGAATGTTGTTAGCATTGTCCGGCCGTGCAGGCCGTGCAGGTATTGCCAAATGAACAAAGGAGAGTTTGAAGTGTAAACCAGGAGGGAGAGGGCGAGGAGAGGAGAAAGAGGAAGCCGATGCTTTAAGAAGTACTTTGGGAGGACCAGCGGCGGATGCAGTCAGTCAGTGATGTCGATTCCCTTCTTTTTACTGGGTCCGTCGATCGGTCACTCTTCGTTCATCGCTCGGCCGTGCCCTTTTACTGGCTTTTGATTGGCCATAGACTGAGTCAGCACCCGGACCGCACAACGGGCATCACATGACTGTTCGGGTGAAAACAAAGGTAGTCAAAGAAGTGAACTTCTATTACGCCATATACACCAGTCCATAGAGTTGCGTGGAATACAGCTCCCTCCACTGAAGATCATCAAATTCGGTCTCCTAATAGCGAAGTGGTACAGATACAGGCACTCTCGGGACAATTTTCACTCATCTTGGTATCACTTACTATCTACTTCGGTCTACTGTCTCCTCCGCCTAGTCTATACTAAACTGGAACTGTTATACCTCCATTCCCTCCACCCCACCCCCACCACGGTCTCTTACTAACTGACGTGTCTCACATTTTGGACCTTGGCCTCTCACTAGCCTCCCAACGTGCTAACCGCTCGTGACTGCGAGCAAATGTCTTCGTCACCACAGCAGAAGCCGTACTGATCTCCAGCGCCAGAGCAAACGCAGCAATGTACCCAGCCAGGCGTCGCTTACCGCCGGGTTCATTGCACTGCATGATCCGCAAGCCTTCCTGCTGTGTCGCGTATGACGTGCCCCCGCCGATTACCCCTACAGGTATGGAGGGGAAATACAGGCTCAACGTTATTGTCTTGGACGCCTGATCGTATTCTGGCGTCAGATGTGCCCACGAAGCATCCGCGACGCACGCCGGATCTTGACCCGTGGCAATGAAAATGGCTGCCAATATATTGGCGGAGTCGATATTGCTGCCATGCTCGCCATTTCGAATCCCCGCTTCTTGGGTCGTCTGAATGAAACTATACAACTGTGCGGATGAGCAGCCTAAGACTCGCTGACATGCGGAGTCGGATAGAGCTGTCCAGGCCACGGTCTCGACACCCCGGACAACGGCCACATTCCTCCACGATGGCTTCTTGTCCGAGGATAGCATGCCTTCTACAAGTGTGTCCACAACCTTATATATCTTTTCTAGGTTCTTCGACACCCAGTCACAGATCCGATCTGTAGCTATAGTCACCATGTTCTGGCCTGACGCGTCTCCGCAAGCGTAGCTCAGAAGCAGATGGACAGAGCGGCCGATCGTATGCGGTTTTAGGCTCTGTAAGCGAGCATGCTTGCTGGTACTCTCCGCCACTTCCTTGAACGATGCCTGGAGGGTAGGCAGCGCGCGCGCAAATCGCAACGCATCTCCGGGATTTTGGAAGCGAAAGACCGGGCAGCGCGTCATGCCCTCATCCCCCATGTGGACTTCAATACCACCAGAGGCATTGGCAACCTTGCATCCGCGACAGCAGCTGGCGACTACCGCCGCCTCAGTGGTGGCCATGGGCGCCCAGATCTCCTTGTCGGGCCCTGTGGGCGTCCGAATGTGTAGCGGTCCAGCTAATCCAACCGGAACGTGCGTATAGCCGATGAAGTTCTCTATCTTCACCTTGTAGGGGTCTTGATTGTGCCGAGTGATGTGTTCGACACCGTTGAGGATCTGGCTGATTTGAGCCTTGGTTTTTTCTGAGGGGGGGGCCATGATTCGAGAACTGTATCTTCACGAGCAAGGTATTCGGTGTAGATCCAAATGTCGACCGACAGACATCACGCGCGACAAGGTAATCACTACTATATGTATAAGTAGAACCATTTGCCTCCATCAAGGTTAACCTTTGTGTAAATATTGGTTAACCTGGTGCTTAGCATCTGCTTACAGGGCATGGGTACCATACTTCCAGGGGCACGGTTGTTTAGTCTTCTCCCAGTCTTGTTTCCGGGTCTTCCTCAAAAGGAACTTACATCACCACTGTAATACAGGGATATGCCGTCTGCACTCATAGATAAAAATCATAAACAATCCAAACAAACTACATCTCCATCGCTCAATCCAAGGCCAGAACTATATCAAACGCCATCATAAACATGGAAATAAGCTTGATTGAAGGGATGGAGTATTCTGTATTGTAACACAACCAAATCAATGAGGGATAGTATAGAACAAGGCACATTCTTAATTGATTGCATTCAAAGCATCCAGAGTACGTTCACACCACGGAGACCAAAACTTAGGCACGCAGGCAGAGACAGTACTAAAAGTCCGAGTATCCAAACACGACAACCCACCAGCCAGCCGACAACCAAAACAAATGCATAGTACGTACAGCAATTAGTAGTAGTAAATCACCTCAGCTCACTAAGGCACCTCTCAGCGCACAGAGCATCCAAATTGAAGGCAACCACTTACTGCATCTCCAGATTGCGGGTCCTGTAAGTTGCCCGACGGACCCATCTGTCACCAAGTGGAGCTGACCTCAAAAGTAAGTAACACTTTTAGTAGATTTTCACAATGAATCGAGTTGAAAGGAAAAAGGAAAAAAAAGCAACCATCATACTTTCAGTTTCTCCGAGCCCTAGGAGAAAAAGAAAAGGAAGGGGGCCAGACAATAAATAAAGATTAGGTAATTTCATCCGAAATCGCTCACGTTCGGAAAAGTACGTATTGCCACGAAAAAGAAAAATAAGATAAAAAGCAATATTTTGAACGAACTGGCGCCGAAGTCTTTGTACTTTGAAAACGCCACCGAGAGAGATAGTGGAGGGGGAGAACAAAAGCCTTATTGCTGATGTGCAGGAGCAGCACAGTACGTACCTCTTGCAGCAAGCAACCCTGCACATCACCGGAGTACTCCGTGCAAAGCATACACAGTCGTCATGTCTAACCCATCAGAAATCAACCACAAATTTGATTTGTTGGTGATAGTTGCGCCCGAGCGGTGCCCCGACGAAAAACTATCTACTACAAATGTGCATTACGCAGTAGACTGAATCTGCGATAGTCTGGCAATTGCAGTCCGTAGCCCCTTTCCTTGAGGAATTCCCTATCCATCAAGATCAGGCCCTATTACCTCACGGTATGCCCGAGAATAGCCTAGCCCAGCTCTGATGTCTACTTACTAGTAAGCCGGGTAAAGCGGAATAATTGATGGTCGCATATCGGCCCTATCGTTATTCTATATTGCGCGATCATGCGTTTGTCTACAGTATGTAAATCTATTGTCTCTCCAGATGAGTGACCTTGCTACGCACTATGGGTCCACTTGATTTCTACCAAAAGATAAGAAACTAGTGGAGTGACAAATCATCAGTCCTGCCATGTAGATCATGTGTCACAGAGTATCAGTCATCGTTGCTTTGATTCTTTGTCTGCTGTGGTGCGCATATGATAGATAGAATACCACTGCGGCCGGGGAGTTAGGTTTAGCTTTCTCAATAGTTTCTACTAATCTAGTTTTGCTTTGACAATCACGGGGTTTTTATTTGAGTTAGTTAGTCTACCCGCTTGGTTTGTTGCAGGATTCGGCGGTCAGTTCGTTAAGGTTTGTTGCTGAGGTCATTCTAGTTGGTATTCTTCTAGATAGTTATTCTGAAAAGCCGTTAAGAAAAAGGATTGGGGATCGGAGATAACTCCCCTGTAAGAGAAAAAAGGGGAAGGTAAGTGGATGAGAAATAAAATAGGAAATCAAGTGAACGAGGGAAGAAAAGAAGGAAGGGTATATGAAGATAAATATCGAGAAATAGAGAACACAAAGTAGAAAAAAGTAAAGGTATAGCTATTCTCTCTCAAGAAATATGCGTCCCCAAAGACCGAGGAATGTCAAACGACTGCACCGGGCGAGTATAGTACTCCGTACTGACTTCGACATTCGTCTCGATTTCCGTATGAGCATAGATCTTCCCATCCGGTATGATAATCCGTTCCTGGCTGTTGTTCCTCCCAATCTGTGTGCCCGTCATAGCGTCTCCATCTTGGGTCTGTAGGATGCTCATATCGAATGGATGCTCGCGACCCTTGGAGAAGCCCGATTCCTCTTTTCTCATGTTGCTGCTCGACCATCCGCCGTAGCCGCGGTTCGAGCTGTACTCGCCAATCAAGCGGGGGAGGAAGCGAGAGGCGATGGCTTTGAAGGACGGGATGGAGGAGGCCAAGATGCCGACGTTAATCTCGATGGCAGACCAGTACATGGCGCCGCTGATGGCGTAGGTGGAGTCGCTGGAGGTGAGCATCGCGGGGATGTAGGTGATTCGGATGATGGAGGAGATGCAAGCGCTGGATATTGCGAGTAAGCAAAGAAACACGTGCTTTACCTCATAATTAACAGGCATTGTACTACTTACAATAGACCAAGACAGAGAATACCACCGAGGGCCAACTTCTGTTTCTTTGGCATGTGTAGCTTCAGGATGACCCGGATCGGCAGCGAGTAGGTGAGCAGATCGGTCGTAATGTTCAGCGCCGCGTTGGCGAGGTAGAAGACGTTGATTGTTACGCAGCGTCCAGGAATGCTAGTATTCCAGGCGCGGGCGATGGGATTGCATTGAAACGCAGCTGTCAGAACGAATGAAGTGGCTTGGCAACCCACAACACACATCATGACGAGAGACATGCGCGTGAGTTGCTTGTCACCAAGTCGGGTGTAGAACCAGCAGACGGAGGTTTTGACAAAGCCAAGGGCGGCCAGGTAGAACATCGAACTCAACCAGACGGCCTGTTCAAGCCGTCAGCAGCGATATCATAAGTGGAAGTTGAAGTGACGTACAAAAGAGTATGTGATAAGACCACTTTGATCCACATCCACCATGTGCTGGCCCATACCATGCTTGACAGCTATACAGTGTCAGTCTCCGCCCTCATATGCGGACAAGAGGAATTATCTTACCGACTATGGTAACTGCGGTAAATGCCCATGATAGAAGCTGGGTGAGAGGTCAGCTCAATCGCATCGATCCGGAAACGATCCCCTTACGCAGGCGCCGATAATCAAATCTAGGAAGAATAGTAGGTCAGTCACAGATTGTACACAGTCAAGGAGGGCGAGGACAATATTGACTTACAGTCATCCAAGCCCATACGCTTCAAGACATAGATTCGAGCAAACAGCCGTAGACAGATAGTCACAAAACTCAGGATCGCGAAACTGATCGCAACACCAGCAATTACTGGTCCCTGTGTAGTTGCCATGTTGACAGTCCAAACGGACAGAAGAGGGCAAGGCGCACAATGCTGGGTAGTGAATCGGGAAAGTCCAAGGTCTATTTATCGAGTGCAACACATCAGATGCAGTCGCTCATGCACCACACACACCATACACGGAGAAGACAGTCATTTTCTAGAAGGGGAACTTCCGAGGGGGTTAAAGATTGAGTTGCGATTTAACGGAAGGCAATCTCGCGCATGTGCGCCATCGCGATCATCGCTGCATCAAATGCCCCTGGCAGGGCCCCGGGACTCATTCTTGGACGACCCCAAGCGGTGCGGGTCAAGCTCGCATGTTGGAGAAACTGGAGTCTGATGGACAATGGCGTTTCCTAATAAGGGAAAACTGAGAGGGAAAAGTTCAGCCGGCACCAAGAGTTGGCTATCGACACTGGAAGAACGGAAGGAAAAAGCAAGGTCTCGCGCGAGTAGCGACCAAGAATCGGGGACTCCAGTGACAGTTCGTACGTAGCCCACATCTAGGGTTCTGGAGTGGTGGGCATCAAGTCCGGATGCACTGGCCGACTCCGATCATCGAATCTGATACAGAAAATGTGTCATTGAACCTATCGCTCCACGGCTAATCGGGGGTGCCACTAGAAAGTCAGTCGCTGTCCACTGAGTGGCCATCGGCGACAAGAATAGCAGTTGGGGCACGATCGTCACTGAAGATGGGTCATATCGCCGGGGGGGATTCCGATGTTCGCAAGAAGTGGAACAAATTTTGGATATTATTCTGTACTTTTGTTGCAGAGGTTGCCACCACGTTCTCGTTAATCATTGATAATCGGTGTTCATGTACGGAGTACGGAGTAGACAGTGGTTGCGACAAAATCCCGGAACGTACGGCAGCCAGCCAAGTCAAGCCACCACAAGCACCTCTGTGACAAGGTAATGGCTGTCTGCGAGACACGGGAGGAGTGGATAAAACGGAAGGAAATAAATTCCGGCACTATTCGCACCATAAACGACCGGTGTCTGAAAGGCAGGAGAAGCGCTGCCGGCTTTGCTCCAACCGGATTAGGGCCTTGACTGATAGTCGCCCTGAGCGCAAATGCTGACCCACTCCACTGAAGATGGACCCGTCCAGACAATTTTGAACGGCGAGTCTTCTGCTCAAAAAGGTGGTCTACGCCGGGTGTCGGGCGTCATGCCTGCGAATGCCTGCGAATGCCTGCGAAGACGATGTGCGCAGGATCAAATTCTGGTGGCTTGGGAGACGTTATGGGGAGCGTAGGGCAGATCTTTATTGGTCGCCCTGGCACGCGGAAGCCTGTACTACTGAATACTCACTGTAGCTCGGTCAATAGATCCAAAAGATTAGAAACCACCCCTTAATGCTTTTTGGTTCTTCAAGGCAGCCATTTTATGCACCAGCTAACCAGGTGTTGGATTTGTGAAAGGAGTTCCTTCTCATGCTGGTTCATCGACTCATGCTGATGTTCAAGGAGCGAATGAAATTGACGGGGAATGGTTTTAGTGAGTGGCTTGGGGGACGGACCTCGGGCTATCGGCCGTGCTTCCGATCCAGTAGTCGCAACCACCAATTTCTCTCGATCCAACGGTGAAAATCTGCGTTGGACTTCCATGTGAGATGGATGGATAGAAAATATGTTCGTAAGTAGATAGGAGAACCATGCTACTCCTCCCATCCAAATTGTCAAAGCGGCCCCTTCAGGCCGTGTACAAGTCCGCCCGCCACCCATAGCGACATTGGTATCAAAAGTGATATATCAACAGGCGCAGTGTTGCCATCCTCAGCTGAGAGTATTCCTAATTCTCAGTATCACAAAACTTTCGACGGTTGCAGAAGCAATCAATAGTGTCTTGTGGCTAAAAGACCGACTCTAGGCATAACGACGTGCGCCATTAGTACTGCGTAGGACTCCAATGGGCAAGCCGACACTAAACCAGCAATTTCTCCAGGGAATCCTGGAACCTTTGCTTGCCATACTTGTTTCTGCAGTTCTGGGCCTCTTTTGACACCCCCCTCGGCAACTTGTGAAGGGTGTAATCATTTTATTTTCCTGGAGCCATGGATGGAGTGCCGATCGCGGCCCAGCTCAAGGCCGGCGTCAGAGTTAGTCTCCGTTAGGGCCTGCTAGGGGGATGTCTGTGGGTAAGTTTGGCCTCTCACGTCGCCTCCCCCAGTGGACGGCAATTAATTGCTGTTAACACAAAGTACTTTGTCGAACACGTCGAGCAACGAGATTTTTGGGTTTTTCTTTGTTTGTGGGATCCGGCGGTATCCCGATAGTTTGATAGAAGGATAGAAAATGAATGGATTAGGGGGATAAGTATATATGGCAAGAACGGCACTCTACAGACTGGCACAAAAGGAATGGTCCCTTTCATCAAACTAGAAATGGTTCCATGGTCTTGATGTCGGGACATGACCATTTCAGTAGCAGTCTATGACAAACTTCGAGCCTGACAAGTGTCAACTGCTCCTCCGAGAGCTTAACCACGGCCAATAATGGCTCATCGCGACTCGGCAAGCCCACTCCATCAGAGACACTAGGAGTCGTTGGAGGCCCTAAACCCTCGGCCGCGCATTCCTCCCTGCTCATGAGTCTTCACTTTGTCCCCGCACCACTAAGGTACATTGTCGCTGCTCTGACGGACTGGACCGGTCATTGTCTGTCGGCACTGGGGGTGGTTCTTCGAGTGACGCTTGTCAATGGCTCCAGTCTGGTTGGATCGACACTCCGGTCATATTGTCTACCCTCCCAAAGCAGTAGCCTCAGTGGTGTTCTCCTCGGATCGAGTCCCGGTAGGTACATGCTTAGATGGCGCACCACCGCTTCTTCAGTGGTACCACTACGAGGCTAACTGATTCGTCGTCTGGGCGCATTTACGTAGGAGAGAGGAGCCAGATGTCGGTGCTGGACCTAGGGCGGGCCTAAGTCCAAAGCTCCCCTCCAACGGCTGTCGATGATCATGTTTTAAGAGCTTGGGGTCGCTTCACAGTGAATTTTGTTGCCATCTGTCCACTCGCCGACTACAAAAGCAACAACAATAATGGGCATGGGTGAAGATCTCCTCTCCAAGGTCACGACCACCAACGTGATCCTGGGTCTGGTCACCTATGTGGTCCTTCAATTCGTGTATCAGATCGTTTATTACCACTTTTTCCATCCGTTGGCGGAATTTCCTGGTCCATTCTGGGGCGGGGTCACCCGACTCTGGATTGCATGGCATAATCTGCGCGAGACTGAACTGCAGACAGTGTACGATCTCACAAAAAAATATGGTACGCTAAACTATCGTACTACCTGGATAACAAATTGTGAAAGAATGAAGCCTGACTTAAACGTTTCCAGGCCCCGTAGTCCGTATCACACCCACGCTCCTGCTTGTCAGCGACCCCAAGAAGCTCCCCGACATCTACCATCGCAATGCCGACAAAACGGGACACTACATCACCGGATCTTTCGGCGAGACCGAGTCTCTGTTCAACATGCGCTCTCACAAGACGCATGCGGCATTCCGGAAGCACATTGCCGGCCCAGTATGCTCAACTCGACCCTATACTTCTCTTCAGAGCTCTCTCGACTGATACCTGCACAGTATAGCTTTAGCAACGTCAAGCGCATGGAGCCGCTCCTCGACGCCCACATCGAGCATTGGCTACAGAAAATCGACGAGAGATTCGCCTGCACGGGCGCTGGTTTCGACTTCTCGTGGTGGGCAGTGTGAGTGCCGTGCCATTCTTGAACCCTCCACTTCATCCCGCAGGCCACACTGACATCTCTCTAAGCTACATGGCATACGACATCATCAGCGAGGTCGGCTTCGGTGCACCCTTTGGTTTCGTCGAGCAAGGACAAGACGTCGGCGGTCTAGTACAAGGCTTCCACGACGGCCTGCCAGCATTCGGTCTCCTGGCGCGTCTCCACCCCTTCACCAGCTGGATGAAGACGACCTTCATGAAGAAATACCTGGTTGCGACTCCCCAAGATGACTCCGGTATCGGAGTCCTGATGCGCTTCCGTGACCGACTCATTGACCAGCGTCTGCGCGACCTCGAAGAAAAGAAGGACATCGGCCGGATCGATCTCCTCCAGACCTTCCTCGAGGCCCGCACCGAAGAGGGCAAGCCCCTAGACATGGAGTACATCCGGGCAGAGGTCCTCTTAGTCCTTCTTGCTGGCGCCGACACCACCGGAACTGTCTTCCAAGCGCTGGTATATAACCTCATGACCCACACGGAGGTGTACGAGCGCATGATGGCCGAGATCGATGATGCTGCCCGAAAGGGCCTCATCAGTCCAATGGCCCAGTACCAGGAGATTGTGGAGCACTTGCCCTACTACGCCGCGTGTGTCCGCGAGACCTTGCGCCTGAACCCTTCCGCGCCAAACCTCTTTCCTCGATATGTCTCTGAGCCGGGTATCGATCTCTATGGCCAATTCGCGCCCGCGGGCACGGAGATCTCGTCTAACCCATGGATCGTCCACCGCGATCAAGAGGTGTTTGGCGCTGATGCAAATGTGTTCAACCCAGAGCGTTGGCTGGACGCAGAGCGCGCCAAGCTCATGAACAAGTATATGTTTACTTTTGGTTACGGGACGCGAGTATGTTTGGGCAAGGATATTGCGATGATGGAGCTGTTCAAGGGTCCTTTGCAGGTTTGTACCTCCCCATCCCATCCCTCACAATCTTTTATATTCTTTCGTTTTCTAATTCGATACAGCTATTCCGCAATTTCAAGCTTCACTCTATTGCCGGCAAACCTTCCGCGCATTTTGTGATCAAGGGAGGCGTGGGATTCTGGCGCGATATGTGGGTTACGGTTGACAAGCGGGGAGCTGTGAAGCCGATGTAGCTGTTTCAGTCCGTCTTATGTCAAATTTCTCACCCTGGTTCTAATTTTTACTATTTGTCTCCATCGCTAGCTGTAGGCCCCCCTCTCTATTCCTTCATGACTGCCTTGCGTCCGGCGTTCTGTAGTCGTAATAACCATGACTGGCACTGAAGAGACATGATACTGAGTACTAAAGTGGGCTCAAATCCCTGCATTCGCTATCTAATCTAGACTACGTTAGAGGAGTTACTGGATTCTATAGACTAGTAGTTCCAATAACAGTAGTACTAGAACGAGAATGAGGGAGATCATGGGGTATCCAAGAAGTTCAAGTTCTTACAATTCATATCTCTCTCTCCACGACATGCTGGCACTATGCTACTACTGAGTAAGACAGAAAATTTCTACAGATTGTCATGAGTCTCTTACATAGATTCAGGCTTGCCTGCTGGGGGTATTTATATGGGCATCATGCTGTGGTGTTGGAGACGGAATTATTCGTTTTCAATAGCAGTGAGTGAGTGCTGTGAGGTATTTAGTATATACTGAAGAAAAGACCGCAGTTGTTATCGGAAGGAAGACTGTATACTAGACATCTGACACCATTGAAAGCTTGACTGGACTTGAACCATACACTTCAACAATCAATCGATTCATGATTGGCTGGTAGATTCATCATGGATTATTACATTCAAGCTTCTGTATGATAGCCTGGGACCTAATCAATGATGCCACCATCATAATTATCATTACCTATAGTCCCTTTACATTAATATAATGCCGGTAACTAGTACCTCTACCAGACCAGAATGGAAAGGATATCGTCTAATCTACAACATAATCCCCATCCCTTTCACCCTCTCAAACGCCCCAAACCACGACGTCCTCGTATCCATCTCCTCATCAAATCCAATCTCCCTCGCCCTCCCTAAATCAAACGGGCGATCGAAATCCATCAATCTCAGACTTCCCATTCTGGCACCCGTATTATGCATACTACGATAAATCACCTCCTCTTTCACCCCTTCCCTCTCACTACACAATTGTCTCAGTTTCTCCCAGTTCCGATCCATGTACTCCGTCGGGTGCAAGGAACCCTCCTCAGGCCCCACACCTTCCAACCCGAAATACGACGCCAGGATTGGCCATCGCTCGGACCATGCGACGGGGCGTGCGCTGTCCGCGATATTGAATGCTCGGGTATGGACCTTTTCGCGCGGTTGGAGGGACGCATGGATGCAGAATCGCGCGATTATGTCTTGATTGGAGTCGGTAGATTGGAGCGTCCAGGTTGTGCTGTTGCCGGGGAAGGGAACGCGGGCGTTGGGGCCTTCAAGGGCGCGATAGAGGGAGAGGTAGATGCCCATTGTTTGAGCCATGCAGTTTGCATTGCCGAAGGGGGCGAGGCCGACCTTTTCATGGGTTTTCGGTTAGTGTGTTGGGGGGGCGCAGGGGATGTGGTGGAAGGGGGTTGCGACGTACTATCACGTCCGGACGGACTTCACACCATGACCAGGTCTTCCCGATGCAGAGTTCCTGCAAAAGGTCGACTTCGTGATAGTAGAAGAGGTCTTTGGCGTATTCGGCTGGCACGCGGGGGAGGTCTTCTTTTAGGGGGATTTGGTTTCGGAAGGGGAATTTGTCGAGGAGGTAGACGCCGTATGCCTGTTGGATGTGATGGCTGTTGTTAGCTTCTTACACGTGAAAGAGCATGTGTTTATGATGTGGATATGCAGGTGACATACCTTTGTTCCAGTAATAAGAGTAACAAAAGACAATTTTGGAGAGAGAGTCTCCAACGTCTGTACAGCAGCTCGAAGCATCTCCTTATTCAGTCGACATTCTTCGGCGGGGACATCGCTGGCACGATATGCTGCACAGATATTGAAACCCACGCGGTTAGACGCACTAACATAATATATATGCATGCAATCAGGAAGGCGCCTACATACCTGCATAGTACACGTGGCTGATCGTATCAACAGATGAGATCTTCTCCGCCAGGGTCTTCTTCAGCGCTGCATCATCGCCTGCCAGGAGGTCCACGCCGGAGACAATCTGGAGACGATCATCTGTTGGCCACTGGGCGTCCCCGGCTATGAATGCACGGTTCGCAACCGCTGTTACCCTGCTGAAAGTACCTGAGGCTGGGTAGTTGGTAAGTAGCTGGTTGACTAGGGCCCATCCGTTGATGCCTGAACAGCCGAACACGATAGCATGGTGTCCTTGAGAGGGTTGTGACTGCTGCTGCATGGTGAGTCTAACGAGGGGAGTAAACTGGGGTCTAAATTGTGTGATGAGGACTCATTAGGGAGACAGCACGCGGCTTCATGGATCAAGGACAAGGCCGTCTGGTCTGATTCCAAGGGGTGCCATGATGGCTCCCAATTTACCCAGATTACCCCGGCCCAGTGCAGAACGCTGTACACATCGGACTGCTGTCCAGGCCAATGGGTTAATTGCTTCTTAGCTTACCTCTATTATGCCTATGGGAAACCGCGGACTGGCATCAATCCACCATGGTGGGGACAACCAACGGACTCGTGGCGCCACGATACCGCATGTCGGCCAGAATCCGCCACGCTAAACGGTAGGTCATTGGTGGCGTTAGAATGAGACGGGTCGCGTTAGCAGGGATCTTTTCGCTTACGATGTCGTCGACTGCACTACGGCCCTCGGATGCAAACATGGGGTTTCTGATTGGTTGTAAACTAGCTTACAGAAGCGACACGTCCAGCATAAATGATCCCTTGAGTGAACAAAGAAATTGCGGGTTTGGTGGGTCGATAATTTTCTCTGGCGTGCGGAATAAGGATAAGCACAGATGACATCTGATACCGGGAACATGAGGTCTTACCAGGTACTACCGGAAAAGGGAAAGCCGAAGAGAAGGCGGGCGATTTAAATATACAGCTCCAGCATTTGATAGAGAATGGTTTGATAGATGGACTACGAGCCAAGAGGCTTGTGTCAGTTACTAAATAGCTTTGATCAACTTCGCTTCCCCTGCCCTCGTGGCTTGGCATCCCACGGCTGGCTCCTGCGATTTCTCGGGGATTTATGATCGGCCGAGACAAGCCCGCTCTAAGGCCATCATAGTTGGCTTGGATATAGTTGAGGGAAGCGAAGGATTCGATTAAATCCTTATCCTTTCTGATCATTGTTGGGGAAGGGCTGGCTGGCGGAAGACAGAATTCTAGCAATCAGGTAAAACACTCCCTCATTCTCGAGCTGATTATCACCGATGTCCATGCAACACCTACAGGGGCAAACAGCGCCCTGGGGCGCTTTACCAAGACACAGCAGGTCTAGGGAAGCCTTTTCGTAGTCTCAGTGGTGCTTGGGCTAGCCGACTAGTCACTCTGGCCAACGCATATGCGACACCGGTAGAAAACCGACAGCATGCACGTTGCCTCAGCAAGTAAAAGAGGCTTGATCCTGGGCGTTTCTATTGGACTCGGAGGTCGTGGAAGCTAAAAGCACCACGCTAAGTGGGCCAATTCGATATTAAGCTTGAAATTGCTTGTCCCGCGGATCAGTGGAAAGACAACCCGTCGATTCACGAGCTTCAAACTTATCAATGAGAGGGTTCGAGGAAACCCTACTTGAATGATATCTTAATCCGATTTTATAGAGCTGACTGGCACCCAGCCCTTCGTATGAATCAAATATCTCTTTGCTCTCCCACCAGGGATTACATTATATTTTCCGTCAAGCGTCACCTTCCCCGGAAGTCGTCCGCGGGTTCGACTCGCATGGTTGATGGTTTTTCCCTTCTCGGGGAAACCTTTCCGAATGGGCCCACCTCACATGCCCTAAAGGCGACCTCAGCGCTAAGATCAATAGCTTCTCGACTTTAACCCTTGGTCGCGGTCACGCATGGTGCCATTGGAGCTAGTTACATTGATCGATGAGTGCGTGTGCTAACTTAGTAATTGGTCCGCACACACAACATTGTTCCGTCCATTGCAGGTAAGGACGAACCCGATAGTTAGAGATCACAAATTTATAGACATTATAGATAATATAAAAAAATCTGTGGAGAAATAATTGAACTATACCACGTATCAATCAGTTTCATTTACACTCACATCCGTGGTGACTTGGATGCCTTCATGGGCCCCGATAATCCGCTCCTCTGAGCCATTGCGACTAGCTTCAACATCGGCCCGGCTCTGCCCCGTCATAGTAGTCAGCTTGATACTCGGGTGTCCAATAATGGATCGCCCATTATTGGTCCGACGCGTCGATGTCCCATACATCTTCGACCGACCGGTCGAGTCGCCCTTGGTGGAAAGCCCGAGTAGCCGTTGTAAAGCAGGAAATCGGAAGCTAACAAGCGATTTGAAAGAAGGGATGCAGGCGATGAAGATAGCCACAGCCACTTCGACACTAGACCAATTGAGAGTATTGACGAGTGTCCCTGTTCATGTATCATTAGCCGCAGCACACGCAAGGGTCCAAAGGGAGGGGCAACACACAGGTGTGGTCCTCAGAAAAATTGCTTATGTACGTCGCTCGAATAATACTCGTCACGGAGACCCTAAAAATCGCGGTTATTCGTAACCCCCAGGTGGTTTCCAGCTAAGGGGAACCAGCATACAGCACACCCAATCCAAACATCATCACCAGCCCGGCTCGCTTGCCTAATGTCATATTCAATTGCATCAGTTTCGGAAGAGGGAGAGCGAAGAGCGCTAGATCAGTAGCCAAGCGGATCCCGAAGGAGATGTAGTAAAAGGCCGTCAGAGATAGACATTGGCCTTTGACGTTGTCGCTAGCATCCCATGCCTTGTGAATCGGTGAGCATTGGAAGATCACGACAAATGTTTCCTCGATTGTTTCAGCGACAAGGAGGCCCATGAGGCTCCAGCAAGCAATTCGAAACGCTTTTCCAGGGAAGATCTGCAGATAAAGGAGGCAGAATGAGATCTTGACGGTGCCGAGGGCGAGAAGATACGCAATCATGCTGACAAAGTCAAGCTGTAATTCAATGAGAATTCAATCAGCACATTAACAGTCTCGTTTCTTCAGTGTATTTTCAACCTTTAGAAACATCTCCAGCTTCTCCGAGCTATGTATCGTCGCAATGTGTTTTCCGTAGCCATATCGGGTCACTGTCGGAGGAAAACTTGTCAACTCTATTCATTGGTGTATGATTTTGATTCATGGCGGCTTACTCCAGATACACACAAAGCACAGGACGAATGTGAAGATCTTGAGCAATCAAGTGTCAGTGACTGGGAGAGCATGAGCAAATTCTAACAGGGCCAGGAAGCGTACCCAGCTGGCCACACATAAAACATCATCCAAGTTTATCCCTGAGAGGTAGCGAAGTCGGACGAACAGACGGACTGAGAGCCCAACGGTCGCAATCGCGAGAAGAACGGTGTTGCAGGCAATAATTGACGATACTCGAGATGCCTTCAGGTCGACTGGAGGGTCGGTCGACGACACCTCCTTCCATACGACTTCCATGGAAGGGTGTCTATGTGGCCTGGCGAGAACGAAAGAAGGGCGAGGGAAGTCGCAGTCCGGGTCAGATTCCAGAGAGTCTACATTTGCGGGGGCATTTCGAAACGTTATGTCTTAAGATACATTATTAGTACGAGGTGCAGGATGCAGGATTCAGGATGCTGGGATGGGATTTCGCCGAGCGACCCGTCTCGAGGTTTCGGTTGGCTGAGTGAGGAGAGACCACAATCCATGGACATTAATCCTCTGGAGACGATTGAGCAAGACTGGTCCTGGCCATATGGTAAAGAACAATTTACGTGCTCCACCCGCTCCCGTGACGAAAATGCTAGTTGTCCAACTAATATGGTGTCGTGACACCGTCGGACACCACGACGGCACTAGGCAGGGATCACAAAGTGCCCTAATTTCACCCCTCTCAAATCGGCCTTCTTCACAGATGGTTTGATGTCCTGGACTGGGTCCAGGCCAACCGTTTCCATTCCGATTCGTCATGGCTTCAATTCTGCGCCGGCGTCTGCTGCTTTATCCGCAATTTCTCTTCCCACGTTTTAACCGGCTTTTCTTTTAATTCTACCCCCCTGTCTCCTTCCTTTCCTCATTCTTTTTCGCAAATCCGCTTCCGCCAGTGATTTTTCTAAGGCAGGATAATGGACCAAAAAAATGTCGGTGAGCTAACGGCCACCCCTGTCGACTTAGATGAACTGCCGGCCGGATACTACTGCAGTAAGAACTTTGTCGGCTCTCTCATTGCCGTGTGTTTGATGGCCATCAGTCTCTACCTGGGCTATGTCTTACCAGTCAGTCCCTCCATTCATTACTGCAGCAAGCCTGTCGCTGACTATCAATTAGGTAAACAGCTTGAGCGCTATCAATGCTGACCTGGGTAAGTTGATCTCCCCTCTAAAGATGGACTACCCGGAACTATCAGCCAATAGTTGCTGACTGACTGTCTTTTACTTGCAGGGCCGGACCCCAGCTACAGCTTGATCTCGACCGTTTTCACACTGATCTCCGGAGTATGAGCATCCTTCTTTTGCTAAAATATGCTCCTTCCAAGAATACAGACTTGCTAAGCACAATATAGGTTGGCCTCCTCCTAGTTGGCCGCTTAGGAGACCTATTTGGTCGCCGATACATCCTGATTGGAGGGCAACTCCTCGGCCTCATCGGTGCCATAGTCTGCGCAACAGCCAAAACCGTTCCCACCGTCATCGGAGGCAGTGTCCTCTGCGGTCTGGCTGCTGCAGTGCAATTAACTTTCAGCTTCGTGATCGCTGAGCTGGTCCCCAACCGTGCTCGTCCGGTTGTCAACGCCGGCATCTTCATCACAACGCTGCCATTCTCTGCGTTCGGTTCTCTGATTGCAGATCTGTTCATCGCCAACACCGCCCGCTCCTGGCGCTGGACCTACTACCTGAACATCATCACCTGTGGTCTATCTATCATTCTGCTGGTTTTGTTCTACTTCCCTCCTGGCTGGGATGCCAAGCGTGGAAATGAAAGTCGCATCGATGGTCTCAAGAAATTCGACTACATTGGCTTTCTCCTGTACGCCGGTGGACTGATTCTGGTCCTGCTTGGTCTCTGTAAGCTTCCCGGACAGCTCTGACTCGGTTCTCATAGGGTGCTAACGCAATTTCATCAGCATGGGGTGGCACATCGTATGCATGGCACTCAGCCCATGTCGTTGCTGTTCTGGTCATCGGATTCGTCTGCTTGCTTGCTTTTGCTCTATATGGTACGTGAGCCAGCCATGCACGGGAGACTACTTAGTAAACTGACTCACTCCCTTCCCAATCAACAGAAATCTTCGTTCCCTTGCAGCAGCCCCTTCTTCCCATGTCCTTACTCCGAAACCGTGGATATGCCGGTGCGGTGTGCTCGGCCCTAGTAGGAAACATGGTCTACTTCTCCATGAGGTATGCTTATAACCCCAGCCTCCTTGATGTCAATCTAATGACGAATCATTACAGTCTCCTCTGGCCAACCGCCATCACCGACCTCTACACCACCGATACCATCAAAACCGGTTGGCTTTCAGTGAGTGACCCTCCCCTATCACCGCCAGACCACCCCTCCCTTCTAACCACATCCCAATCACAGATCTCCACCGGCGCCGGCGTCATCATCGGCGAAGTCGCCGCCGGCATCCTAATGAAACCCGTGGGATACACCAAATACCAACTGATCATAACCACTCTAATGATCACCGCATTCTCGGGCGCCCTGGCATCCATTAACCAATACCGCCAGGCATACGGCATCGCAGTACGCTTATCCCCAATCCTTCCCCCCCCCCCCCCACCCCATCGCAATGTTACTAAGATAGATCGAATAGTTCACCGCCATCGGTGGCTTCTGGGTCGGCTACCTCGAATTGATAACTATAATCATGTGCCCATTGTACTGCTCACCCCAAGATATCGGCCTCGCAAGCGGCTTCCTCGGCTCCGCCAAGCAAGTCGCCGGCACCATCGCCACCGCCATCTACGTCGCCATCCTGGACAACCGCATCGCGGTGGACTTGCCGCGCGATGTGTCTGCCGCCGCGTTGAATGCTGGTTTACCTTCATCGTCGCTGACGGATCTGCTTGAGGCGGTGTCAGCGGGGACGACGGCCGCGTATGATGCTGTCCCCGGCATGACGGCGAGTATTCTGGGGAAGGTGACAGAGGCGGTGAAGACGGCGTATTCGCAGTCGTTTCGCACGGTGTTTTTGGCGAGTATTGCGTTTGGTGGGCTGTCTGTGATTGCGGCGTGTTTCGCCGAGGGAGTAGATGCGAGGTTTACAAAGGATGTGGCGGCGAAATTGGGAGGTCTGGATGGGGATGGGAAAGGGGGGAGTGAGGAAAAAATGAAAGATGGAGGGGAGGTTTAGATGTGTGTTTGGGGGTTTTTTGTGTATGTGGATACTATATTAGGCATGATATATTGGGGCCATATTCAAGAGCTTGAATTACAGTTTCTTTGACCACTGGGTTGACTACAGAGGGGGCTAATCTTATGCTGGAAAGTCATGTAATTCACTAATAGATGGCTGTCTATATTACAACACTGCGTTGTGTGTATATATCCGAGGTCGGTATAAACAAGGGAAAGGAAATAAGCTGTTCACGATCGTAAAGGAATTCAGACATTATGTGGTTGAACAAAGACGAAGCACGCCAGCACGGATGCCGAATAGGCAAGCCAGATTTGGCTGAGCTCGAAGGGGTAGGTAGGTAGGTGTTATAATCGGCAGGGCGGGACGTGGAAACAAGATAAGGAAAAACTGAAAATAAAAATGCACCGTGAAGTTGGGGAATACCAATAGAATGAAGAAATTCGAAGGAAAACCGACCAACTCCAGGGTAAATCAAAAAAAGAAAAGGAAGTAAGAAAGAATCACACAAAGGTGACAGATAACTTCCACAGACGGCATCAAAGATCGAAAGTAGATAATGAGAAAGTTGCTGAATAGCTTTTGGTCAAATCGCAACAAGTCGGGAGTGGTGTGTATGTATATCGACAGTTTTCGGGGGTGAAGAGAAGAAGCAGGGGAGGGGGCCTCGGACTCTATCTATACAGGGTATGTCGAGGGGTCGCTTCGGCTTTTGAGTGGACTGTGAGGCATTTGAGGTTCCATGCTGGTGGAATCAACGGCTAGGAGTTGGCTCGAGAAAGCTGATTGGTCTCGACTGGTGCTCTCGGAAGACTCGCGGCGCTGGAGTCCAAAGGCCACGCTGCTGGCGTTGGCGCTGGTCACCTGGCTGCCCAGGTTGGTTGGCGCGCCTTGGGCATCGACTAACGGTGCGACAGGTGTCGAGTCCGCCGTGCGGTCAATGCCATTAGGCACGGGGTAGTCGCGTGTGACATGGGTCTGAGGAGTTTGGCCTCCATCCGAGGGAATGGTCGAGGCTTCGCTGTCCGATGAAGCTGCCAGCTTGGTGACACCGGGTGGCACGTAGGCTTCGTACTTCTTCAAATAATCGAATTGGCCCAGGATGACTTGTTCTCGAACGATGTCGACATCCAGAGGGAAGTAAACTTTCTGAATGCACTTGATGACGAATCGTGGGATAAGACACATCACTACGGTCAGAAGGAGGACCACCCAGAATGACAGCGCGCCATAAACCTGGTGAGCGGCGCCATAGAAAGTCGACGATGACTCAAAGGATGAGTAGACACCAGTCCAGAAGAAGATCAACAGTGAACTGATCGCGTTAATCAAGCTGGAGAGCCAATCCCATCGGTACATGTTCATCATCACGTAAGTGTTGCTAGCAACCACAGCACAGGTGGCGACTAGTACACCCACGCGATACCGATCGTCGATGCTGAGTCCGTTTTCTGTTTGGAAATTGGCCACCGAGTACAGCCTGTACGGCATGAAGAAACAGATAATGGATTGGTAGAAGCCGTCGAACATGTAGATCCTGATCAACCGTTAGCTTGAACTTCAATACCGCAGACTTGGGACATAGCAGGCGGACTCACCAGAACTTCAACTGCGTCCACTCCTTACGCTCAATACCACGCATGTAGAGCTGCGGTACGGCCAGAGACACCCTATCGTCGACATCCTGATCGAATATTCCCATGAAAATGACGGGTAGGGAGGTGAAGGCAACGTTCACCAGGGTAATATACGTGTATTCGAAGAGGTAGGAGCCATCGAAGTTATCATAAATCGAATACCAGAATAGCGCGAACGTCCACACCAAGTTCTAGGGCAAAATTAGCGTCAGAGCTCTTGAGCCAAGCTAGGACCCGCCGTTCGCTCCAGCGGGAACCTAGAGGGTTGCTTACCTTGTAGAAGAAATTGGCCGTCGTCTCGCCCAGCCGCCGATACGACCATCGTCCATGAACGAGAATGAGACGCTGTAGGAATCGGAACTGACCGATGGCGTAATCGGCACACATGACTGCCTGACGACCTTCCTCTCCTGCAATACCTACACCGACATCCGCTTTTTGGATCATGGCGACATCGTTGGCGCCATCTCCAATCGACAAAGCCATGATGTTCAAACCAGTCTTGACCATATCAACAACCGCCGCTTTTTGGGCGGGACTGACACGGCAACAAAGGACGGACTTGCAGCGCCGGCAAAGCAACAGGAATTTCTGCCTCAGGGCATCGTCCAACATCAAACGAAGACAGTCCCCATCGAGGACAAGGGCATGGGTCGATGGGGGTGGCGAGTGGTCCTGGCGTGCCGCGGCTAATTCCTCGTCCGAGCCAGTAATTCCGAACTGTTCGAGTTTGCTGTCCAGCTCCTTGGCAGCCATATCAGAATCCGGAGCACTCAATACCATGATATCCATGTCGTTGTTCAGAAGGTTGCAGGAATAACCGATATTGATGGCCGTTTCGATCTTATCACCTGTCAAGACCCAGAGCTTGATACCGGCGTCAGCCAACAAAGAGATGGTATCGGGCACACCATCCTGCAGCCGATCTTCGATTGCCGTGCCACCCAGAAGCATCAGATCCTGTTCAATGATACCTGCGACCTCATCCAGTTTCTCTTCGCGATCCACAATGGCTGCTGCTGCCACGTCGTGCTTAAGACTCCACTCGCGGTAGAATTCCTCGTCGAGAATACGTTCTGCCACGCAGAGCACACGGAGACCTTCTTGAGCGAAGGTCTCAAGGTGCTGTGAGGTGACATCCCTCAACTGCCGTTGTTGACCAGGAGCCAAGCGAGAGTAAATGACCGTGTCAGCACCCTTACACAACAGACGGATGGTTCCGTCCGGCATTTGAACGATAACACTCATTCTCTTACGCGTCGAGTTGAACTCCAAGATGTTCAGGATCCTATAACTGCGTTCTTCACCCATGATGTTAACAAGGAGCCTATCTCCCGAGCGACCCATCGCTGTGAACCCACAGTCTCGAGCAGTAGCCACCAAGGCAGCCTCATCGGGAGACTGGGCTTTGAACTCAATTTGCGGGGGGTCACCCGGAATCCGTTCCGTAACCACAGTGTGGCACAAAGCCAGCGCGGCCATGAAAGTCTCGACAGCCTGCTTCTGGGCATCACCGGACGCACCCCCTAGGTCCGCTGCGTACTGAGGCGAGACAAAGGTCAGATTTTCGTCCTTGAGATATGGGTTGTCGTGCAGTTGACGCAGTCGCTGCAGCATTTCCACGCGACCGTCGCTAATACGTTGGCGAGCCTTGGCAGCTTCCTCCTCCACATTCAACAAACCCTGGCGTCTCTGCATGCCCAACTGGGCCTCAGTATAGGCCTCACCGTATGCGACGCCGTTGACCGTACATTTCTTGAACTCCATAACGTTTTGCGTCAAAGTACCTGTTTTGTCCGAGAAGATATACTCGATCTGCCCGATGTCATCTGAGATGTTCCAGGCCTTTGGGACGCAAGACATCTGAAGCCGCTCGTAATACATGTGCTGGTCGAAGAATATGAAGAGCGCTTGGATCCAGCGCACGATTTCCAGTGAGATGTACAAGGCAATGGGAACCAAGTTCTGAAAGAGAACCACACCCACCCAGAAGGCAACGACACCCTCCACCGCGGGGGATCCACCATAAGAGCCGTATTCGAAGAAAGTTAGGGACGCGTCATCCAGTCCCCAGGCAAAACCGTTGATGAAACCGGATATCAAGCACATGATAAAGAGGATCGCAAAGTTGTAAATAACGTTCCAGTTCATGTTACGTGCCATTTGTGGTCGCTTGGTCGGAGTGATACCCTGATTCAGCATGATCTTTGATTCCGAACCGGTGAACAAGGCCACACCCAACGCCCACTCTGTGTTCTGAAGGCTGCAGCCACGGAGGAGAATATTGTTTATGGTGATGGGCTCTACCCGTTCCTGGGGCGGCGCCTCGGGATCGTCCAGTTGGTTATAGTAAATGGCACCGCTGAACGAATAGAGATTCGCATGCGGGGGAGGGCTTTCTATAACGAATTCCGCTCTTTCACAGTCGCGAGCATTCCGTACTGCGCGACCACAGTTAAGGGCATGGCGAACCTTCAAATTGGTCTCCCCGTCCAGGTTTTTGGTTTCCACATAGCAGGCACCGTCCGGGTCAGAGGTTGAGAGAATCACCATGTCCGCGGGAATCTGGTCACCGTTGTACAGCCGCACAAAGTCACCGACGTTGACATCCTTCCAATGCTGACGCTTAAAGCGAGCCTGCCCGGAAGCAGTCTTGGTCGGGTTGAGGATGTCGCCCTTGACGCGGCCCAAGGCCGCATTTCTGCCGGAAGGATCTGCATGATCCGGCCAATCTCCAGAAGCACGGGCATCGAGGGACACGGCCCTCAACTCAATCGGAGAGGTAGGTTCCACGGATGGCCGGGCATCCGCCATCTCAACATCTCCAGCCACGTCTTTGTCGGCGGACTTGCGGCGCACGAGCTTCTTCATGGCACGGTAGGTGAATACGGTGGCCCGAGTACAGGCCTTTTTGAACTTTCGCCAGGCGGACACATTGTCAAGGGTGACATTGACATTGTGCCAATCGGTCAGACGGTAAACCGGGGAGTTGTTGAGTTCGTTATCGGATACCGTTCGCCTCCAGTCCTCGATAGCATCCTTGATCGAAGTGACCACAACGATAATGATCAGGGGTACAGCACTCAAGCCCGGGTCGGCATCTCCAAAGATGGAGAAACACTGCAGAATGATGACGAATAAGAAGTAAAGATTGGCGATGTTGTGGAACTGCAACCACAAGTTCTTCGGGATGAACGTCAATGGCGTGTAGATAGAAGTGCGAATCTTGTTGCGGGGATAAACGTTCTTCAGATTGCCTTCCTCGTCCCGCTCGCTGTCCGGGATGGGAAGGTTAAAGTAGACTTTCCGCGATGAAGCGGTTTCTGTTTCATTGCTTTCTGACCCTGCGGTTGCTGCATCAGTTATGTTGTTCTGCGTATTACGACGGTTGCCCCGTTCCAGGATGGAGACTCTCTTCCGAAGACCGCTGGCGGCGGTCATGCGTTTCGTCGCCCATCGTGCGCGCTTGGTGGATTTGGCTTCCTGGTCGGGAATCGGAGGAACCTCGTCGGAGGCCCGACTCAGTTCCTCGTCCCCTTTCCCTTGTATGGGATCCATTTACAATGGGTGAATTCCCGAACTATGTTCAGCGGCGGGCGGCAATCATCGGATCGGTTAAGACGGAGGGGCCCTGCGTGAGGCGGCCACGCAGGCCTTCGGGGAGCAGCAATCGCAGCCGCGCAGTTAATTGACCGGATGACGAAGGATAGCGGATGTGAGACAGGGAGCAGAAATTCGTCACGATAGTCTGCTCCAGACCCGGTCGCTTCTTCGAACCTGACGAACGGCGGGGAGGACAGGCGGGGGGGGAAAAGGTCGTTCGCGAGATCGCAACGATCGGAGGGTTCGGCGAGAGTAGCAGAAAACCAAGTGTAGCGGAGCTGGCAGGGTAGATCAAGGGCAGACGGGGCTTGACGCGCGTATCGGGAGTGGGTGAGCGACGCGGGAGGTATCGAGGGGCAGTCGAGTGTCAGCAACAGTAAGATGCCAGGAGGTGGAATGCGGAGGGAGGTGGAGGGAGTCAAAAGAGACAGGATGGCTGGCAGAAAGACCCGGGGCTGGAAGGGAAGGAGGAGGCAGTGAGAGTAATACTACTACTACTACCAATTAACTACTAGTCAGTAGAGTGAGGAGGCGAGCTCAAGCCTGAGCCGGGACTGACCGGCGACGAGCCCCAATTCGTGGATGCCGCACTGAGGCAACCCGTCCACTAATCCCCATTGAGCCACTCACAAGCCTCCATCTGGTTAGTACGGGCGCTGACTCAGTCCTCCCCCCGGTCGGCTTAGTTAAGCTGAAGGGGGCTTCTTCGGCTTTTCTCTCGCCTTCTGCTCAATTTGGCTCGGATTTTTAAGGTTTTTCCTTCCATCTTCCGCTATCCGTTCTGTTCTCGGAGTCGGGGTGCCGGAGTCAACCAGGTCAAAGGGAAAAAAAATAAAAATAAAAATAAAAAAGGGTTGGCTCCAGTGGCGGTTTCCTTGTACCCTGGATCCGCAAGGCTGGGTCGACGTCGATTTTGCTGCTGACGGTTTGCTTAGTAGTATTAGCAAGTAACCAACACGAGGTACTATCCAGCATCCATCCAGTGCTACTGTAAAATGCATTGCCCCTCTGGACGACGGGGCAGAGTGGCTGCTTATCAATCCGGAATGGACCATCTTGCCTCTTTCAGTATTCTCTTGCGCGGAGTATCCGCCGTCATAATATTAATGCAACATTTATCCAGTACTAGTATTGTTTCCGCTTAGCCTGCTCGGATCCGAACGATCAACTTTCTCAGGGCAATGGTTTTTGATTGCTGCTGTGAGAGAGAAGGCTGCGTAGATTATAATACTACTAGTAGTCATACTAAGCACACTAATGCAATGTATCTCCATGGAAATTGGCTGTGCCTTGCGCTCAGGGCAGCAGGGTTGATGTGGTAATCTGTAGTTGCATTTGAAGAGTAGTATAGTCATCTAAATATATACTCTCGGTAGGAGTTGTCACAGCCGCATAGGGATAAAGGGAGGATAAGGCTGTACTAGTTGGTAAGTAAGCTGACGGAGATCACTAGTAGTAAGCATCACCATCAGAAGCTGTTGACTAGGGATAGAATGTTCCCCGTAGCTAAAGCAAATAATGAAATAACTAACTAATATTCACCAACATCAATAGTTGTTCTCTACAACTAGCAGCTGCATGTTCGGGGCATGCTTTCAACTGACCGCTTACCTTTATAGAATATTCTGCCGCAAAATTATGCAAGTACAACAGGCAGTGGAAGCAATGCTTGAAACTTTTAGATTAATGTGCTGTTCCTGCAGACGTACTAGATAATCATCAATTGCATTACTCAAAAGCACCCTAATAGGTTTGAGGGCTATTCTGCTTGCTTCTATAGATAATTGTTCACCAATCGCGAGCAACAGTAAGAATCATGAAACTGCAGGAAGACTAGCACACCGCCTACTGATCGACATTATCATCATTGTTTACTCTTATTCCCATCGTCCACTCTTCCCCCAACCCCTCCTCTCTCTCACTTCCACTGTCCAGCATCTTCAATTCCCTTGGCAACCTTCCGGGCTCCATCTTCCACGCCGCTGCCCACACTCCCCAGTGCATCGCCAACAGGCTTCCCTGCGCTCCCCGTGGCGCCGGTGATGGTATCGCCGATACCTCGCCCCGCGGCGCCTGTCACCCCGCCAACAGTGCGAGAGACGCCGCCGACCGCGTTGCCGAGGGTCGATGTGACGAATTTGGCCGCGCCAGTCACTCCGGAATCCTGATTTCCCAAAGGCATGTTCACTGCGGTCTGCTAGATGTTTTTAACAGGTGATGGTGTATATGCCGTACGCAGAATCTGAAAAGTATCTGTTGGTGGAGCTTATGGCTCAGTAATCAATCTCTACGTGAGTCAGTCTGACTACATACCTCAGGGGCTGTCACGTTCAGATGGGCAGCAACTCGCAATTATGTGCATCCATGACCGGAGATGCCAGATGGCATCGCGAAGATATACTGTCTAACTAGTCTAACTGCTACCTGCTAACTAACCTAGGTGCAGTGACCCATGACGTCAGTGGAGTCTCGGATGCGCTGCTGTTTCCATTCCTTCCCGCGTGCTTTCTGGACGCGCGTCCACAACCCATCCCACAGATATTGGACTCTTGAACAAACCAGAAGCACGAAAAGGGATCAAAATAACAGCTTACACTTCTAGGGCAGTCTGCCACTTCTTCGTGGTGGAACATACTCCTAGAAGCATAGTACGACGAAGTGGGAATTCAAGGCGCCTCGGTCGACCCGCCGCATAATACTTGTTTACCGAGCCATTTCGAGGATCTGCAGCACACCAGCTCTGTCCGGCAGGTTCCCTTTTTCTGCCAAGACGTCGGTCAAAGTCATATCGGCAATCTTGTGCAACTGCTCGTCACTGGTCACGTTGACCTCGGACAGCCGGGATGGCATCCCCAGGAGTTGCACAAATCGTAACATGGCGTCAGCGGCTTCAGTCTCCTGGAACCCCAACACCGAGTTGAAGATGTCGAGGATAATCTCCTGGGCAGCCGCGGTTTGAGGCTTGGTGTATCGCAACGTCGCGGGTAAGATGATGCAACTCTACACAAAACGTGAAAGGTTAGTCGGCTGCCTGTCCACAATTGGTGGCTTTCTCGGATTTAGTTACCGTGACTCCTGAACATACGTAGAACGATTAGTGGCTTTCTACTTTCCGCAGCTTGAAGTGGTTTCTGCATCACTTACCATGCTGCACACCAGCGACACTTCCCTGTTGTGCAGAAGTTCGGTGGTCAGTAGCCTTTATCGCAGTACAGTCGATGTAGATGCGCCATCGAAGAGCGGACTCACAAGTTGATGGCCGATTGCATGGCTTGGACCCATATGAATCTTCCATTGAATGAAGGGCAGGAGAGCGTCTCGTGAGCCGCGCTGACATTCCGAAATGCCTTTGAGCAATTCCTCTTCATCACGCTTTTCCTGACCGGTGTGATAATCCTTGAGACCCTGGATCAGGATTGGCAGCGCCTTTTTGATGTGCTCCGTGGCTTCCTCGTGGCACTCAGGATTGCACAGTGTCTCCACGAAATGATCCACAGCCCGCACACCCGACGCCAGCCACAAGTGTGAGGGCATGGTACTGGCGATCCGCGGGTCCATCAGGATCAAGCTCGGGGATCCCTCGGGATGCACAAAGTGCTGTTTCTTGCCCTGAGCATTGGTGCCGCTGGCATAGTGGTTCCACTCCCCGGCGCTGAGACTGGTCGGCACGCAGATGAGCTTGGTGGTGGGTGCGTTGATCCCCTCGGGGCCAGCCAGACCGTAAACCTGATCAACCAGGGCTTCCATATCGTCAGTGCCGAAGCCGGCTGGGAGAGTCGCACTGAGCATGACGGCGATCTTGCATGCGTCAGAGTAGGAACCGGACCCGATGGAGATGACAGCCTGAATGCCCTGTGACTGAATGGTATGGGCAATATCCATGATGTCCCGGTACGGGGAGTGACTTCCCACTCCCGTTCTCTTTTGTAGCACACAATCGGATAGACGGGCCTCCAAGTCTTTGATCATGGATGTTTTGGTGTCGAGGGTCGTGCTCACGACTAGTAGGATGCGAGACGCTCCCCATTCCTCCAAAGCGGTCGGAATATCATCCAGGTAGGAGGCCTCAAAAATGGCATCGTGGCCCTCGCGACCGTCTAGGTCGAGTTGCTTGATCCTCTGCCGCATGGTCTGGGCGTGTTAACTTGGTTGAAGAGGTGGTCGACGAATTGATTCGATTGGGGACGAGCAGCACGACGGCAAAGCTTGGATAGGTACTAGCTCTGACACGTCTGGATGAACATAAACCGGATGCTACGCGGGGTACAAGTAATCGGCAATTTCGCGTGTGCAGCCGCTAGTCTAGTAGACAGTCAGACTGGACTGAACTAATCAATACGAGGTTACTAACGATGGATGCTCCCGGGAGGCCAAGCCTCAAGGTAATGATCGGAGACACTGGTTGGAGGTACTGGTACAACACATGGCCGTAGTGCAAATTGATGCACGCTTAGAAAAGATGCTCCACTGTCTCAGGTTTCAGGCTTAAGGGCTCAGCAATCCTGGAAACCGCAAGATGATGCGGTGCATGCTGGATGGCAAATGCATCACAATCCTTATCGCTTATCGGACCGCCTTTGCCGATGAGGACCGACTGGGAATAACATCATAACATCACCACCTACCACCGCCAGTGAACGCTGCAAAGAGCGCCTCCAAGTACCACCCATTCGTGGGAAGACAGTCTGATTTTAGCTCAATGTCCAGACCCTGAATATTGTGGATAAGAAGCCTGCAGATTGCTAAGCATTCTAAGCACCGGATGGATCTGGGGAAGAAAGTGGTCACGGTGACGTCTCGGTCGCAACGTCATGGTTACGTGCCAGACAGCCAATCCGACCACCCCCATTACAGAGGATGTTTGACTGGCTCGCAGAACTGGGAAGCGCTCCGATGATCACATATCGTTTATACATAATGTACGCTCGCCCCCCCGGTCGCTGGAATTGTTTGGTTGTCATCCACCAGCTTTTATCGAATTCCCTACCACTGGCTTTATTCACAGCAACCCCACAGTATCACCATGGCCACGGTCATTGCCGAAGGGCTTGAGAAAGCTCACGAAGCCGTTAAGACGGCTTCATCTAAGAACAAGAAGACGGTCGACTTGGAACGCGACATGGTCGATGTTACCACTGAGCAGCGTCAGACCACCGACCACGGCGTGCCCATTAGCAATACCGACAATTGGCTGCGGTCAGTCGACGACCGTCGCACAGGTCCATCGTTGCTAGAGGATCAGATTGCGCGCGAGAAGGTACTCCCACATGCCTACGTTGATTATCGTGGAGAGGTATGCAGTGGCTGATCGTATCCTAGATTCACCGATTCGACCACGAGCGGATTCCCGAGCGTGTCGTCCATGCCCGTGGAACCGGCGCTTTCGGAAACTTTAAGCTACTCGAAAGCTGTGAGGACGTGACCTATGCCAAGGTCCTAACCGACACATCGCGGAATACACCGGTCTTCGTCCGCTTTTCCACCGTGCAGGGCAGCAAGGGAAGCGCCGACACGGTGCGTGATGTTCGTGGATTCGCAACCAAATTTTACACAGACGAGGGTAATTGGGACCTGGTTGGAAACAACATCCCGGTCTTCTTCATCCAGGACGCTATCAAGTTCACTGATTTCGGTACGTCCATCCCAATCCATTCTCTTACCCCTGACTTGACTAATTGGCGCAGTCCACGCTGTGAAGCCTGAGCCCCATAATGAGGTCCCTCAAGCACAGACCGCGCACAACAACTTCTGGGACTTTTGCTATTTGCACCCAGAAGCCACTCACATGTTCATGTGGGCCATGTCGGACCGCGCCATTCCCCGGTCCTATCGGATGATGCAAGGGTTTGGTGTCAACACTTTTTCACTTATCAATAAGGAGGGCAAGCGCCACTTTGTCAAGTTTATTTGGACGCCTCACCTAGGCGTGCATTCATTCGTCTGGGATGAAGCTCTGAAGCTGGCGGGCCAAGACCCGGATTTCCACCGCAAGGATCTGATGGAGGCCATTGACAACGGCGCATATCCGAAATGGGACCTGTCTATCCAGACCATCCCTGAAGAGAAACAGGATGACTTTGAGTTCGACATTCTTGATGCGACCAAGATCTGGCCAGAGGATCTGGTTCCTCCCCGCACCATTGGTGTGTTGGAACTTAACCGCAACGTGGATGAATTCTTCCCACAGACAGAGCAGGTTGCATTCTGTACATCACACATTGTTCCCGGTATCGACTTCTCCGATGACCCTCTTCTTCAGGGCCGTAACTTCTCCTATTTCGACACCCAGATTAGCCGTCTCGGCATCAATTGGGAGGAGTTGCCCATCAACCGCCCCGTCTGCCCCGTGCTGAACCACAACCGCGACGGTGCCATGAAACACCGCATCACTAAGGGTACCGTCAACTACTGGCCCAACCGCTTCGAGGCGGCAAAGCCGGACGAGCCTGCTCCCCAAGGTGGCGGCTTCGAGTCATACCCCGAGCCGGTACAAGGCCGCAAGAGGCGCGCGTTGAGCCCCAAGTTCCGCGAACATCATTCCCAGGCCCAACTCTTTTACAACTCCATGTCGGAGCACGAAAAGCTGCACATTGTCAAGGCTTTTGGTTTCGAGCTGGACCACTGTGATGACCCTATCGTCTACGAGCGCCTGGCCGGCAAGCGCCTGGCGGAGATCGACCTGACGCTGGCGCAGCAGGTGGCGGAAGTCGTGGGCGCCCCGATTCCCCAAAAGGCCCTCATGGCCAACCACGGTCGGAAGACGATCCATGTTTCCCAGACCGAATTTCCCCCCAAGTCTCCGACTATCGCCAGTCGGCGCATTGCCATCATAATTGGCGACGGATACGACCCGGTGGCCTTCAAGGGCATTCAGACCGCTGTGAAGGTGGCGGGTGCTCTGCCGTTTGTTATCGGCACCAAGCGGTCGCCCATCTATGCGGACGGAGAATCGAAGGAGACATCGCAGGGCATCATCGCCGACCACCAGTACGATGGACAGCGATCGACCATGTTTGATGCCACGTTCATTCCCGGGGGCCCGCATGTGGAGACGCTCCGGAAGAACGGGCAGATGCGGTACTGGATCGCCGAGACATTTGGCCACCTGAAGCCACTGGCTGGTACAGGTGAAGCGGCCGAGCTAATCAAAGAGGCGCTGGGTAGTGTGCTGGACGTGCAAGTGGCCACCAGCTCCAAGCCACAGCCCGTGGAGTGGTATGGCGTGGTCACGGCCGGTGGTGTGCAGAAGCCGGAGAGCTTCAAGGAGAGCGTGCAGATCGCGAAGGGCGCCAAGGATTTCGTGGGCATGTTCTTCTACCAGATTGCGCAGCACCGGAACTACCAGCGCGAATTGGATGGGCTGAGCTCGACGGTTGCCTGGTAAACAGCCTCAATCCTTTTTTAAACTCGGGATGAGGGTGTAAATTGTCATGACGGAATGGTCTGTGTTCATGAGAAATGAGTAATTAGTTGCCTGCAAATGTATGTTAGGATAATGACTACTTAATGCACTTATCAGAAGGATTGAAGCATACTCCTCGTAAGAGTAACATCTCACACCACCGAATCATCTTCGCGATGGGTCAAATATATTAGTACAATCAGATGAAATGTATCACGTCGTGCGCCCCTGACGACCAGTAAGCACTTACCTACTAGCTAACACAACATGTGTGTAGCAACCCTGCAACAAGGGCTGGGATAGAAGATTCAGGATGGGAAGCTTCGTACGGATTGCAACCGGTTGTCAGCGTTGAAGATTTTAATTCAGTGTTATATATATAGTGGTCCAATTTAATAGATACTAGCATCCGACACTCCCCACCGTCAACCCAAAGATCAATACGTGTTCAGAGCGTCGCAGATAGATGAACCTGCGTCGATAACCTAAGTTGTTATAGTTGAATTACATATCTAACGGTCCACAGTACACAGTCACAACCAAGAGTCTCGACCAGAAAGTGGAATCTAATGCCATCCGTCTGAGATACAGATATTACCCCGCTCTACTAACTCCATAATTTTCAATCGGGCGACAGTAAATAGATCGACAATACATTACATCTACAGTGAGGGTGTGTTGCACAGTATCGTTCCTTGTGCAACGAAATCTGCAATTCAGGGGGGGAAGAGGAAAGAAAGTGTGTTCCTGAACTTCCTGCAGTCAAAGAAAAGAAAAAGGGAAAGGGCAGAGCCAGCCACTCAATTTCGGCTTTATCAGGGAATACGAAGACGCGGAGTTTAAAAAAAGGTGGAAGGGAGGGTTTTCTTTCCCGCACTGAACAAAGAGTCAATCGTGTTGTGTTGATTGGGTGGGGAGATAGAGAGTTGAAATACTAGTTATGAAGTTGGTTAGTCTCTCTTGATTAGTTGGGTATGGCTAGTTACAAAGTGGTTAGATGGTTAACCGCCAGGCTTGATAAGGCACCCAGTGGAGCCCCCTTGCGTCTAGCAAAAACAAGTTATCGTGTGAGGATGACGAATTCCAAAATTGATAAGGAGGGAAGCACACAGTGCGACGTGGGAAGCAATACAGGAGATCTACTTACGGGGAGATTAGGATGGGCTGATGGGAGGGGAGAGGGACTGTTAGTATCCTGTGCTGGTTGAGATTTTGAGTTTGGACCTGAGCAGTTGAGGATTGAATTATTATTATGCATGGGGGAAATCTCTGCCAAGATGAGACTACGAGAAGTGGCGGTGCGAGGAGAAGAGAAATTAATTGGAGATATGGAGAAAAAGAGAGTGAGTAAGAGCGAGAAATAGGCCGAGGGAGTGTGATTCTGACAGGTCTTTTCCTCTACCCTACTCTTTCTTTTCTTTTTACTCATGTTCTATCCGCATAAGCTAACAGCCCCATGCGTTATCAATCGAGTGTCTATTGGTCCACGCTGCATCCTGTCCACCTGAAACCAGCCCAATCCTGCGCCAGCATCGATTGCCTGTCATCAGAAACCTCACCATCCCCCGTTCGCCCCGTTCCCTGGTTCCTGTCCAGCCGGCTATATATAGCATGCCTGTTTTTCAAAATGATCCAAAGTATTGAGAAGCCGCCCACTCACAGACCATCGGAGGATCTACTTGACTTGGTGTACTAGTAGTAAGTAGTAAGTAGTATCTAGCAGTAGTTGGCGTTGTTGTTGTTGTCATGTAATGGATCCGGTTCATTCTCCGGGATTCTCTTTGGGGCGGCTAAGACTGAACTGAACTGAACCCGTTGAAGATTCGGTCATCTCGGCCATAAACTAACTAGCAGTATTTGTGAGACACGATGGCAAACTGGATACCCATTAACACTTCTATTTAACCAGGGTCTCCTCCGACATTTTTCTGTCTGTCTTGATTTCTTCCATCACTCTTCTATCATTCTTCTATCATTAATTTTCCAATTGATACCCTTTCCCCTTCTTTAATTAATTCACCTCTGCAACCATGCGTCTCTCTTACGCCGTGTCTCTTCTGCCTCTGGCTGCCTTCGTCGGCGGTTAGTCTACACTCTTATCTTCCCAGTCAATTCTCCGATACAGTCATCTAACTTCTCACTAGCCCTTGAGGTCACCTCCCCCAAGAAGGGCGAAGATATCGATGTCTCCAGCTCCTTCACCGTGACCTGGGATTCCGTCTCGTATGTCCCGTCCCCTCTTTCCCTTATCAGCCCTAAGGAACACCACATATTAACCACCATGCACAGGACTGACCCCACCACCTTCGACCTCTACCTGGTCAACAACGCCGTCTACCCCACTGTAGACAAGAAGGTCGCCTCTGATGTCGAAACCTCCAAGGGATCCTACACTGTGTCTGGCCTGTCCGGCGTCACCGATGGGTATGTTCCTCCACTTCTCTACATTTCATCCACCATCATCACCACCATACTAACAACGAAAACAGCTCCGGCTACCAAATCAATCTCGTCTCCACCTCCTCCACGAATAGCGGTATCCTCGCGCAATCCGAGCAGTTCACCGTCGAGGGTGGTTCCAGCTCCACCACCACCGCCAGCGCCTCCATGACTACCTCCGCCTCTTCTTCTTCTTCCTCTTCCTCTACTGGCACTTCTACTGGTACTGATACCTCCTCCACCTCTTCCTCATCCTCTACTGGATCCAGCTCCATCACCACTGCAAGCACCAGCACAAGCTCCACCTCCAGCAGCAGCACCAGCAAACTAACCACTACTACCTCGGGCGCTAACACTCTGTCGACTACAGCATCCTCCACTCGTTCTGCCTCTGCCTCGGGTACTTCTACTGCCTCTGCCAGCGGTACCGAGACGACTGCCCCCGCCTCCACCGGCGCCGGTATGGCTCTTACTGCACCGATGTCTGTTGCTGCGGGCTTGGTGTTGGGTGTTGTGGCTATGCAGTTGTAAATAAACCATCCCCAAAGCTTTCTATTTGTGGATGGCTGAGATGTAGTGCGGTGGGGTGAGGTGGGGGTGAGGATGTGAATGATTGACGGAGTTTCTCTTCTCGTCTATCTTATTGCTTGTATAGATACATATTTTCTAGCCAAGCTAGTTATTACTTAATGGTTCTATAGCATATATCCATTACATGACTTAATTTTATCACCGAAGAAGGTCCTTGTATATGGTATCCGTGGTTCGGCATTCTTTCTATAAAGTAGTAAAGTAGGCTTTAAGCTGGATGGAATGGACTAAAATCCGTGGATTGTTCGTTCCGTTCCATGCGACCGGTCGAATCATGTGCGGTACACGTTAGGCAGCGAGAGAAAGATTGAGAGAATAAAAGAACATCCATGGCCCGGCAACTCCTACCGAAGAATAGGCAAGGTAGATAAGAATCCCAATAAAGACCATGTCCGAGAGAGAACCCAATTACTTACAATGTGCACCTAGATGTTGACGATCCATGGATCCCTTGGCCCTGGATGGACCCTTTCGGGAATGAACCCGACAGACAGACACAACCCAGACCCTGTAGGGCCATGGCAAAAAACTACCAGAAACCTTAGTAGAAGTTGCTGGAATTGAAAAATACAGGTAGGAAGTTTCGGATGCTCGTCACGGTATTGTTACTGTTTGTCGGGCAGCACCGAATGGGTTACTGCATTGGGTAAAGACCTTTGAGGGTCGGTGCCACGGACGGGGACCAGTTCAGAACCCTTTTCTTCTTAGTTGTTTTTTAACATCGCTTGGATGGATGGATTATTTTTGGGTGAGATTGTGTCTTATGTCTTGGGTTATTTTTGTGTGTTTTTCTGTGTGTGTCTTGGAGGTATTAGAATAGATGAAGTTGTTTAAACTAGTTTGTGTGGATACTATATTATTCTAGTGCCGTCTGATAATCTTGTCACGCTGTCTTACTATAGTAAAACTAGTCTAATAAATAGTTACATCCTGAGAGTAATACGTAATATACATCATGTCTTAGAGCACATGGAGACTAGGACCATCTTCATCTCAATAGTGGTCCATCCTAAGTCAGCTAGCATGCTTGACTACCATAGATATCGACGTCACTATTCCAATATCCCCTGTGTCAGTTTCAAACGTCCAACCCGAATCCAGCAAGAGTAAAAGTAGAGACTTACAAAGGCTCCTTCATACACCCTCGGCCATCCGCCGCACTATCCACCCAAACACCCACCCTCATCCCCTGGACCAGAAACTCCCCGTACCCCATCTCATCAATTACCGTGACAGACGGGTGATCATCGTCTCGTTGCAGCAGATCCGTCCACTTCTCGCCGGCGTGTTTCCGACCCACGTACATGCGCTTCATCGCTGGTCCGCCATTGCTCATGACGCAGGCCAGCCCGGAGGGGTGAGCGGCGTTGCCGTAGCGGATGAAACCTTTCATTTATTAGAAACTGCATCGCAGAGAGGAAGGGACGGACTTACCAATGCAGTTGGGCTGGTCAAAGTAGTCTTGCTGTTCGCCGTAAGCATACCATTTGCGCGCACGCATGAGAATCGGGAGTTGGCCTTCGCAGGCCGGGACTGGAGACTGGCCACCGTCGCAGCTGCCGTAGAGGTCGCCGTAGAAGACACATGGGTGGCCTCCTTGGCGGAGGAGGATTAGGGCGTAGGCGAGGGGTTTGAAGGAGGGTTCGACTATGTTCTGATAGATGTTAGCTCGTTACTAGTCATCAGACACTTATTAAAATGCATGTACTCACCTCGAGCATTTGCCCCGGTTGCTAAGTTGTCACATCAGTTCAGCACTTATCCATGTACCATCGTCACTCCACAGAAAAAGATGTACTCACCGTATCATGGTTCGTAACAAACGTCTACACAAGACGCCTCATTAGTCTTTCCAAGTCCACCAATCAAGACAAATGATCAACTCACCAACGCATTCCCCGGCCTAGCCTCCACCAACGTCCCCTTCAGCATGCCTCTCAAATCCGCCCTCCTGGTCCTCGACAGTCCTGAGAATCTCTCCACCAGCGGCACATCCACCACCGCAACCCGATACTCCATCTCCTCCAGATACCTCAGCAGCGCCCTCAACTCCCCACTCCAATACTCCCCAATGATGAACATCTTCCTATCCCCCGCCTGACTTCTCACACAATCAATAAACTCCCTCTGAAATGCCGTCGAAAAATGCTTCGCCGCATCTAGCCGCATCCCACTCAGCGGCAGCACAGACATAATCCATTTCGCCCAGCGCAGCACATCCTCCCGAACCTCCGGGTGCGAGTAATCCAGATCCGCGAACATGAGGTAATCGTAGTTGCCGTTCTCATCTGTGCCGACATCCTGAGCCCAGTTCTTGTCCGGCCGGGAAGGGTCCAGGATCTTGTAAATTGCTTTGCGTTGGTGGGCGTCGTCCCAGTCTACTCCAGAGAAGTGGTGCCAGTGGTATTGCAGCGGGCTGTAGGTAGTGCCCCGGCCGGGGAAGGTGAAGGATGTCCAGCCTGCAATTTCCTGGGGATCACCATCTTCGATATCTCGTCCTGAGGATACATGTCAGTAATCATGATACTCACGCACGATAGATAGAAATGGGGAGAAATACGATCATCACCAACCCTCACACCCTCGAACCTCTCCACGCTATCCGCCCCAGCCTTATGATTTAACACCGCATCCCATAATATCCCTACGCCCAGGGCACTCGCCACCCTTACCAAATCCTCTAATTCCGCGCGCGTACCCCATTTCGTCCCCACCGCTCCCTTCTGATCAAATTCTCCCAGATCATATAAATCGTAGATATCATACCCATTGCCGTTGGCGTCCATGCCCTTGCATCCCGGCGGGATCCAGATGCTGGTTACGCCGAGGGAATGGATAGCGGGCAGGGCATGCTGGAGGCGGCGCCAGTGACTGCGCTTATCTGGGGTGTTGGGGGTGGTAGGGACGTGCCATTCGAAGGCTTGAAAGAGAAGCGTGTTTTCCGTAGGGGAGTGCCATGACGGAAGGGATTCTATGGCGTTGGCTTTTTCTATTGATATGTTATTACTATGGGGTTGATTTCTGGGTATTTGGGGGTGATTGGGTGGTTGCTAACCCTCTATTTGCTTTTGGGATTGAGTTTGGGATTTGGTGCGTTGTCGCCGGGTTTTGAAGCATGGGAGGAAGCTGAACATTTTGTTTGGGTTCTTGTTCTTGTTCCTGGGGTATCTTGTGGGTTTGTGGAGGTGGTGAGGAGTTTTTTTCTACTGCGGCGAGGAAGAGGAATTAGCTAGTTTACTGTGTCTGTGTCCATGTAGCTTGGATGGATGGTGGATGGTAGGTGAAGAGTAGATTGCAGCGACGGAGCGGAGCTCACAAAGAATGTTTAGAATAGCTAGCTTAGCTAGCCAGTCAGTTAATAATACGTTGTGCATGACTTCAGTTCAATTTTCTATGGGTCCTGAAGTGGGCCTTTTTTTTTACGCTGATGACTGAGTATTTTTAGCTCGGGCGGTTTTGTTCGGAACCCTACCGAGGCCGAACGGATTTGCCTCCAGATTAGTTTTGGGAGAGGATCAGCCAGCCACGGTGATCGTCAACAGCTGTTGGATGCAGGTACCCGTTTTGGTCATCGTCTGGAATTTGGTATGTAGGTGATCTATATATATTGTACTGGATTTCTAGTTGTCTCGATTCTATTTATTGCTTAGTGCTGGATGACTAGTAACTAGTGTGGAAAAAGCGAGACGCGGTTACCGCGAGTATATGCAGGTGGTAGTGAATATTGTGAAGTGATTATATACAAAATACTAGGTAAGGGTATCGTTACTGCAAATACATACAAAGAACACTGAAACAGATAATATGTCTCATCCCATCTGTAGCTATCAGCTTATTACCAGATCCCCACAAGCAGACCCGCCACCACAGACAGCACCAGAGAAAGCAAAGCATTGGAAGCTGCATCGGTTTTTATGCCCAGCGACAAAGCAGCCTCTGCTGCCGCTGCACCCTGCGTCTTCAAGGCAGCATAGGTGACATTCGCGACAGGAAGTCCGCACAGTCCACTGCCGGGCATCAGATCCGCCGGGAAGAACACGCGTGGCTCTCCTTTATCCATTGGAACCACGAGTTCACTCTGGGCATTGACCGTGTAGTTGATGCAGTTCAGAATCTCCGTCACGACCGTGCCGCCCGTGAAACTCACCGGCATCGAGAGGTTGTAAGCGCTGCTGTTGGTGCCCTGCGTGGATAGAAGCATGACCACTTGCCGGCCTTCGACTCCCTTGCGGAATCCCAGTTCACTGCCACCCTCGAAGACGGGGTACGTCTGAACATCCGGATAGTGATTGTCGAGTCGGTAGGCGTGCTTCCGGATGGCGTTCAACTTGCCGATCAATTTGTAGAGCTCGGCGTCGGTGTTGTACTCAGTGAGCCAAATCGCTTCTCGGTTCTTGGGACTGCCGGGGCCATCCAAATGCTGCTCCTGACCCTGATAAATCATGGGCACACCATCGGCGAGAAGAGTGAATGTAAGGATATTCTTCGCGAGCTAATGGGACAGAATGTTAGCTAGCGAATGCGTTAGAGGGTTCAAGGGTTCATACAGCCATGTCCGGGTTCATGCTGGCAAATCGTGCGACATCGTGGTTTTCGGAGAACGAGGATAGGGCGGTCACATCATGGCAGGAATTCTTCATCTCCTGGACTTGAGTGGCCAGGGCGCTGGTGTTGCCCAGGGTGAAGGCCTTCAACATGGCGTAGTAGACGGGATAATTCGGGAGACTGCCGATGTAATTGTTCTGGTAATCGCAGATTGTGCTGACCTCTTGCTGCAGCACTTCACCGGTCATGAAGATATTCACAGCATCGCCGAAATTCTTCAGAAAGCCTGGGTTCACATGCTTTGCTGCATCGATGCGGAGACCGTCAATGGAATAGGTGGATATGACATCCTTTGCCCAGT